TTGAGAAAAGAGAAAAAGAGCAAGAAGCGGGGGAGGGAGAGGGGCAGAGAGAGCAGGAGAAGCAGACTCCCCGCTGAGCAGGGAGCTCAACACAGGACTCTATCCCAGGACCCTGAGATCATGACCTGAACTGAAGGCTGACACACACTCCACCGCCTGGGGGGCGATTCCAGGTGCCCTCCCCCCCACACCCCGCTCCAAGTAGGCATTTATTACTATCAAATCACAACATCACAGAGCCCCAAGCAGACTCAAGCACGTATGGACACTGAGTTTCCAGAAAGGAGCCCTGCAGAGCACTGGACGAGGGCGAACCTTTCCAAAAACCACAGAATGACTAGGGATCCGTGTGGTAAAAAAATAAGACGGGCCCTCCTCCCCCCGTCATAAACAATGACTCCAGCTGGGCTGCAGGTCTGAAGGTGAAAGGCCCAACAGTAGCACTTCTAGAAAACAATCGGACGGAGCGTTCCGCGTGGTCGTGCATTTGGGGTAGGGAAATACATTTTGAGAAACACATGAAAGTAATAACTACAACAGATGAGACTGATGAATCCTCCTGCAGAAAAATCCAGGGCCGTCTGGATGGCACAGGGAGAAGCTAACAGAATTCGCGTTGTCTTCAGAACTCGATGGAAATGTTAGTGCTGCCTAAGGACACCTGCGGGACGCGGTGGAACCATTCTCAGAGAGACATGCATTCCCCCCCAACCCCCCGCCCCGGCTGCATTTGCACAAAAACAAGAAGGATTTACAAATAAGTGAACCCAACTGTCCACTTCTGAAACCAGAAAAAGAACAGAATAAATCCAAAGAAAATGAGAGGAAAGAAAATACAAGCAGAGGTAGGGAAAGAGAAAACAAACCAAAAAAGAGAAGAGACCCAAGTGCTGGTGTTTTGAAAAGACTAATAAAATAGACCGTCCCTCGGCAAAAAGTGGCAAGAAAAAAAAGAGAAGAAAACACAAATAAACAACATTGGAATTAAAGAGAGGGCATCACTGAGAGAAGAAAAACTATGATCAGGAAGGACTTAATACCCCCCCATTTGAAAACCTCTATGAAATGGACACTTATCTAGGAAAACATTTATTAGCAAAACTGGCCCAGGAAGAGAGGAAAATCTGAACATGCCAGAGACCAAAAACGGGAGATGACATGTTAAAGACCAGGGGCGTCTGGAAGTTATAAGTCTGCAAAATACACACACCCCACCCCTAAATGTGACGATTATTATCTAAAAATGTAGGAGAACCTCCTCCTGACCTTAACGCTGGGACAGCCCTCAACAGGAGAAAATAGCCAACTCATAAAACAATGTTAGTAATTTGACCATCTCGGATCTGAAATGCCGATCCTACCGGATACCTTCAAAGAGTTCAAAAGAAACAGAGCACACTGGGGCGCCTGGGTGGCTCAGTCGGTGAAGCATCTGCCTTGGGCTCAGGTCATGATCCAGCGTCCTGGAATCGAGCCCCGCACTGGGCTCCCCGCTCAGCGGGGAGCCTGCTTCTCCCTCTCCCTCTGCTCCTCCCCTCTGCTTGTGCTCTCTCTCTCAAATAAATTAAAAAAATTTTTAAAAAATCTTTAAAATTAGGGGCGCCTGGGTGGCTCCGTGGGTTAAAGCCTCTGCCTTCGGCTCAGGTCATGATCTCAGGGTCCTGGGATCGAGTCCCGCATCGGGTTCTCTGCTTGGCACGGAGCCTGCTTCCCTTCCTCTCTCCCCCTGCCTCTCTGCCTACTTGTGATCTCTGTCAAATAAATAAATAAATAAAATCTTAAAAAAACCAAATCTTTAAAATTAAAAAGGTGCGCAGCCCGTGTGTTTGCTCTGTCTACATGTGTATGAAGCAAAATGAAAGTATCTGGGACCCGTGACGCGCCCCCCACGTCGGCAAGGAAAACACCCCAGCGGAAGCGGGCGAGGGCTTCAACAGGGGTGGAAGAATTCATTTCCAAATGGCCGGCCGAGAAACAGAGCCGACGACGACGCACCCATCAGGTGAGCCGCAAATCCGTAAGCTAACAGCGCAGAGAGGCGTGCAGTGACAGTGACGCAGCCTGATCGGTGCGGGGAAGAGTATCGAGGCCGGAGCCCCTTTGGACCGGCTCCTGAGTGGCTGTCGAGTCCGGGAATGTGTGGGGATTACTGTGTCTGTGTCTGGAAAAGAAACACCAGCCAACCATGGGAGCCCAAGAAGGTTCATTTTCATTACGATGACATTCATTTTAACATTAAAAAACATGAAAGCAAATGCAAGCTTGCCGTGGACACGCCCCCGACCGGTCGGGGTAAGCAGCCGCTGGCGCCTTCAGGAGGCGATGTGTTCAGCAACGTGCAAACGCACGTTTTAGAGCAGCATAAATCAGCACTGCTCGACTTCAAAAATATGTCTGCAGCGGGACGGAAAAGATACGGAGTAATTGGTATAACACGATCCTGTTTTTATGAGCCACACACCACGCTCCAGGTGCCTACCTGTGCGTGAAAGGATTTACAACATCTGGAAGGACATAGGCCTGACCCAGGAAATCAGTGAAATGCAGGGGCGTCTCTGAGGTACAGGAGGCAGGGGACACGCAGGGCGGTGGGTTAAAAGGAACATTAGCTTTACCCAGAGCACTCTACATTTCCAGGAGGAGGAAATGGATGTCATGTGCGCGTAGGGACCCAGCGAGGGCAGGCACCCCACGTATGCCACTGCACTGTCGGACAGTGAGCTCAAGTCCACGGCCAGAGCCACCCAGGCAGGGCGTGTATGGGGGGGGGCGGGGGGGAGCGGGGGAGAGGGGCATGTCCTGGATTTTATCTGGAAATCCTACCAGGTTAAGGTTTTAGGGGGCCCAACCAGATCTCAGAGACAGCTAGAGCTCCAGCAGGGACCAATGTGACCTCAAGGCAGACATGCGGACCTCCAGGCTTGTCCTGATCCCCAGGGAGACCAGGAGCCACAAGGGTCCACCAGGAAGGCTGCAAGCTGGAGCCAACACGGAGGCCATAAGACCTGCTTTTCCCTGCCCCCCCCCCCAGACCAGAGGCCAGTGCTGTGCAAACAGAAAAGAGAGACCCGAGAATATATTTCCCCCCAGAAACGGAGCATCACCTAAGGGCTGTTTAGTATATCTTTAAGAACTATGTTTTGACGGTTAGGAGGAAAAGTTGATTTATTTAGTAATCGCGAAGCTGCAGATAAGTGCTTGTGAAGAGCTGGTTAAGTACAGCCCAGATCAAGACTCCCCATTCCCTGTGCTCACCTGATCACAGCCGGAGTGAGCTGTGTGGCCCTGCTCCCCCTTCTCCTGGCCAACTTTCCAGGGCTTTGCAATCTCTGTTCTCCCCTCGGACTGCTGTCTCCTGCTCCACAGTGGCCTGCCCTCCCTGCAGCGTGGCAGCCTTCGTCACCCTCCCACACTTGGGGTTTATGGAAGCTTGGGGTTGATGGAAGCTTGGGGCTTATGGAAGCTTGGGGTTTATGGAAGCTTGGGGTTTACGGAAGCTTGGGGTTTATGGAAGCTTGGGGCCTTCTACAGTTCAAAGTCTGCAAGCATTGTAAAGAGGCCCACTCAACTTGGGTTGGGCGGCACCTGCAGCCCAGCGCTGGACACTCCCAGCTGCACTAAGGGGTTTTGGTGGCAGAGTGAGGAGAGCCTCAGGCTAGCCCAAGATTTGTGCGTGGGCCCCAGTCCCATATCTGGCCTCCTTGGACTTCCTGCTTCTGAAAGGGAAGGTCAACCACCTCCATTCTGACCTCGGTCTGTACTTTCTGATTAAATTCTTCCTTGAGGCTTTTCTCCTAACTCAGGCAAAAGACCCTGCGGGCATAGCATCCCGTGGTAGGAACCGAAACTACCCCCTTAAGCTATAAGGACTGTCCTGAGCCAGCAAGACCCCGTGTGATCAACCCCCAGACGACGGTCAGCCTGGCCTTCCCTGCCCACCTGCGCGCACCCCCCACGCTCGTCGCACACTGTCCTCATTTAACCCTAGCAGTGTCTTCAGCACTTCGGAGACAAGTCTTTGAGATGCTGTCCTCAGCGGGCCTCTCGGAAGTAGACTCCCTTCTCGGTTCCCCATCACTCGTCTCTGCCTTTGGATTCCGTCAGCGGGCGGCGGCCGAGCCGGGTCCGTTTGGGACCCCCGGGGCCAGGGGCTCCTGCACCACCGGGCCCGCTGCGCCGCTCCTCCCCGCGCAGGCCTCCTTCCTCCGCATTTACCCGGGATGCTGGGTACGGGCATCCGGGAGACAGCCTCGGAGCGCAGACGTGGGGTGTGGGGAAAGCCCGTGCCCCGGGAACACGACGCCGCGTCTACCGGCCGTCCGTGCTGCTGCGAGCGGCTCCGGCCCCGGCTTTTAGGGGGAGCAGGTGGTCTCTGCAGGGGTTCAGGGATCTCCCAACCCCCCGCCCCGCTGAAAAGCCAGTTGTGCCTCCGCGTGGGCGCGCACTCAGCGCTCCTCCTCAGGACACCGGCCTCCTCTTCGGCCTTCCTCGAACTGGTCGCAACGTCCGTCCGAGCGCTCCGCTAACGACAGCTCTTGTCCGTGTTCACACCCGAACGAGACTCCGGACTTCATCTCCTCCGAAGATCGCCTTTGAACGGGGTCAGACGAACCGAATCTAACCGCCGCGGCTCACCGACTTCGTGACTTTCGGGACATGGCGCTTCCGCACAGAGGGCAGGTGGGGACCGCGCTGCGCAAGTCAGGGCGCCTGCGCAGCCGCGGCCCCGCCCGGAGCCCCGCAGCCCCGCCCGGAGCCCCGCAGCCCCGCCCGGAGCCCCGCAGCCCCGCAGCCCCGCAGCCCCGCCCCGAGCCCCGCCCCGCCCCGTCTAGGCCCCGCCCCCAGGCCTCCCTCCGGCTACAAAGTCCCGGCCACCCGCGGCTGCTCCCAGAGTGCGCGCAGGGAGTCCACCGGGTTGGCCGGGGCGGGGCAGCCGTACCGCGCGGTCCCTCCACTGGGCGGGGCGGGCTCCGGCCTGCGATTGGCCGGAGGCCGGAGGCGGGGACCGGCTCCGGCCTGCGATTGGCCGGCAGCGGCGGTGGGAGCGGCACCGTGATGGAGGCGGCTGGGCCGGTGACCCGAGCGGCGGCGCGCAAGAGGGCGCCCAGGATCCCGGAGGAGCCGGAGCGGCGGCCGGGGCAGCGGCGACCGCGGAGGAGGTGGGCGGGGACCGGCCGCGGCCGCAGTCGTGGGCGGGGAGCCTCGGGGTCCTCGCGCGTGAGGCGGGTGGGGCTCGGCTCGGCGCGGCGGGGCGGGCGGGTGGCACTGGCGCCCTCGCTGGCCCGGAAGGGGGTCGCGCCCGGAGCGGGGCCGCCGAGCTGGTCTGTAGGAGCACGTGGCGGACGGGGGAAGGGTGTGCGAGTGGAAGGAACGGAGCGGGCGCAGGCTCAGAGGCACGGAAGGGGCGGGGAGACCGTCGCGGTCCGCGCTTGGCTCCCTGTGGGGGGGGCACTGGCGCACCGGGGGGTCACCCGCACCGGACGGCCTGCTTGGCTCCCTGGGGTGCACTAGCGCACCGGACGGCCTGCTTGGAAACAGCGTCCCCAGTGTTGTTTAACCCCCCCCGAGAGGGAGACCAGGGCTGTTTCCGACTGGCCAGGGATGGCCGCGGAGTGGCTGCGGCCGTAGGGGTGAGAATGCTGGGCGGGCTCGCAGGCGCCCCGATGCGCGCTGGGCCAGGGGGGCCGAAGGACAGCAGGGTGTGGGACGGAGTTCTAAAGGAAGTGTTTTCCACCGCCCTTGTGCTCTGGTGAGGCCTGAATGTCCCTGACCCTCCACCCACCCAGCTAGTTGCAGGGTCCCCCACGAAAGTCACAAGAAGTGGCGCGGGTTTGGGGAGATTGAGAGAATTTCCACGCGGAAGCCCGCGGCCAACAGACGGCGGCTGGAGTGTCTTCTCACGTCCGCATGGTGATAGCTACTTCGAAAAGAAAGCCAGTTTATTTGTAGGAGGAGCCGCCAGTGTCCGGTGTTGGACGGAGGGCCGGCCGCGGCGCCAACACGGGCGGCTGCAGGAAGAAGGCGCCCACTCGCCCCTTTGGTTCAATGCGTATTTCCATAATTGGCTTCAGAATATAAGTCCGAGAACAGTACTCCCTCCCCTCGGCCAGTCTGCCTGCGCCTGGTGCGTGTGCTTGTCAGCATTCTTTTTCTTCATGCTTTTACTTAAAAAAACCTTTTTTTTTTTTTTTTTTAAACTTCCTCATTGCTTAGAATTGAGGAGCAAGAAGAAGCCGTCTTTCGTGAAGTGGTCAGTTTTACCCCGGAGCCTTTGCCAGGTGAGACGGACGGAGGCTCGGAACGCTGTCTCTGTGTTCACTCTTGGGGCTTTGGGCAGGCCCCCCCGGTCTAGTGTTTTCTCTCTGGGTCGTTGTCAGAGCATCTAGGGTCCCCATACTTTCTAATCAATTCCTCATTTCCCCCTCCTCTGACCAGCTAGATATTATGACAAGGACACCACCAAACCTGTCAGTTTTTACTTCTCTTCACTGGAGGAACTCCTGGCGTGGACGCCTGACGTGGAGGACAGTTTCAACGTGGCCTTGGAGCCCTCCGAGTGCCGGCAGCCCCCCTTGAGCAGCCAGAGGCCCCGCACCCTGCTGTGCCATGACATGATGGGCGGGTATCTCGATGACAAGTGAGGCTTTGTGAGGGCATCGCCTGACATTAATTCTGTTGCCTGAGACGGGGCTGGAGGGGAAGGAGGCAGGGAGAGGGACAGATGTGTGACAAAGAGCACTGGGGGAGGGGGAGTCTCTGGACCAGACTGCTCTGACTGGGCGAGGTGCCCAGGTCTCTGGTGTCATCTCTAAAGGACCTGGGTCAGGTGAAAGCTGGGGCCTCTGGCAGGCCTGACACCCATTTGCTTCTGGGGAGTGTGTGCCCTTAAAATCTGGTGTGCGGGGCAGGTCCAGCAGCTGGTACCCTTTCCACACTCCTGGGCCAGAGCTGTGGTTCTCCCCCGACCCCTTCAGCTCTGACTGTCCTCGGCCCATCAGTTCTGGATGCTCAGCTGTGACCCTCCCGTGTCCCTCCCAGCCAGGGGACACTTCCTCCAGAGTTGCTGCCCAGTCCACTTAGAGGTCTTAGACGTCTGTAAAACAGTCCTGGAGGGGACGATAGATGGGAAGGCCTAGTCCGAACTGGCCACCAAGGGACGGGCGGAGGCAGGAGGCGACATCTTGGGTGCAGCTCATGGTGACCAGCCCAGCATTGGGTGTAGGGAGACCGTTCTGCAAAAATGGTGCAGGGGCCGCGCTTGGAGCTTTTGCCTGAGCCCCGCCCCTTCGTTTTCGTCCTGCCCCGTCTTTGTCGAGGCTGACAACGCTCGGCCATCAGGTCCAGCAGTGACCACCAGCCCGTCCTGGGGAAGATGTTTCCCTTAATACCTCTTGATCTCAGGGTCAAGGTGCAGTCCCACTTCCCACTCTGCCTGGGGTCTACGCCGTGCCTGGTGCGTAGCCAGCATCCCGATTGCTGGCTGGGACTAAAGAGGAGCTTTCCCGGGGTGCCCGTGTCCTGGGTCCCGACTGCTCCGTGTGTCGCGCAGGTTCATTCAGGGCTCGGCGGTGCGTAGCCCCTACTGCTTCTACCACTGGCAGTGCATCGACATCTTCGTGTACTTCAGTCACCACACCGTGACCATCCCCCCCGTGGGCTGGACCAACGCTGCCCATCGGCATGGGGTCTGCGTGCTGGGTAAGAGCCCCGGGGCTCGCCTCCCACGCGCTCGTCAGTGCACCTGCCAGGTGACCAGCAACGAGAAGGCTTCTGGGGGCGAAGCAGTCCTCGCCTGGGGCTGCCTTGATCGGTTACGACAGGCAAGGGCCAACTTCTGGAAGCGACCAGGCCACTGGGTCACTGTCCTAACCAAGACAGTGCAGCTGTAGACAACAGGCAAACAGACGGGCTGTATTTATGAAGTGGGGGGGGGAGGGGCGGACGTGGCCCACAGGCCACAGGTGGCCGGTCCGTGGGCGCGGCTCTCTTCCCCCACACCCGCGTCAGTGGTTGGCCCCTTCACTGCCGCAGGGTCGGCCGCAGGGCGTGCGACTCCGCAGGTATCTGGGACGGCCGGTGTGGGAGTGTGTAATGAGCTTGCAGGCCGGGCTGCTGTGCTCTTGCAAGAGCCACGCTTTCTTAACTGCTGGGTTCGCCTGCCCTCGTTTCTCTCGGCCCTGGCAGGGACCTTCATCACCGAGTGGAAGGACGGTGCGCAGCTCTGTGAAGCCTTTCTGGCCGGGGACGAGCGCTCGTACCGAGCCGTGGCGGACCAGCTGGTCCTCATTGCCCAGTTCTTCCGATTCGATGGCTGGCTGGTCAACATCGAGAACTCTCTGAGTGTGAGCACAGCCTTCTCCTGGCACTTGCCCAGCCCAGGCCCCGCGCACTGTTCCTCCGTCGCTTTCCTCAGCATCACTGTGGCCGGTTAAGTGATACCTCTGTCCCTTCACTGAGGGACAGAACCTTCTCCGGCACCGTGTCCAGAATCCCTGGTTGGCTAAGCTTTGCCCTGCTGCCCTTTCAAGGCCTCCCTTTCCTCCTCCTCCGTCCGCTCTGCTGGGGCCGCGTGTGCGGCTGTCCTTGGCGCCGCCCTCCCCTTTCCTGGGGTTTTATTTTTTCTTTGTTGCTGTGCCCATGTCCTTCCTGCTTCAGAAAGGAAGGACAGCTGGGGCTCCTGCGGGGGCTCAGTCGGCTGCATGTCTGACTCTGGATTTCAGCTCAGGTCACCGTCTCAGGGTCATGGGATCCAGCCGCATGTCGGACCCTGCGCTCAGCAGGGACACTGCTTGGGATTCTCTAGATTCAATAAAATCTTTTTTTTTTTTTTTAGATTTTATTGATTTATTTGACAGACAGAGATCACAAGCAGGCAGAGAGGCAGGCAGAGAGAGAGGAGGAAGCAGGCTCCTCGCTGAGCAGAGAGCCCAACGCAGGGCTCAATCCCAGGACCCTGAGACCATGACCTGAGCCGAAGGCAGAGGCTTAACGCACTGAGCCACCCGGGCGCCCCTAGAATCAATAAAATCTTTTAAAATGAGAAAAAAAGAAAGTCAGGACAGTGGGAAACATCGGGCTGGATCCTCCTCTCCATGGCTGTGAGGTCAGGGGGCTCCAGGGACCCGGGGCTTCTTTGGAGTCTGTGTTTGCTCCTGGGGTTAAGCAGCCTCCTGTCTGTGCTGCGAGGGGCACTTCTGACCACGGCGGGGCGGGCCTCACCGCGGGTCTGCTCTGCCTCCCTCTGCAGCCGGCCGCGGTGGGCAACGTGCCCCACTTCCTGCGCTACCTGAGCGCCCAGCTCCATCAGCGGGTGCCTGGGGGCTTGGTGCTGTGGTACGACAGCGTGGTGAGCAGCGGACAGCTCAAGTGGCAGGATGAACTCAACCAGCACAACCGGTGAGGGCCGAGCAGGCTGGGGGCGGGAGTGCCGTCCGCCTCCCAGGGCCTGGGGCGCACGGCTGCCTGGGTCGGAGAGGCCGGGAGCAGAGTCGGAGACACCGGCCACCCGCCGGGAGGACCGGTGCCGCGCGGGCCGCGGGCCATGCGCTCCCGGCGGGCCCCCGCTGTCCGGAGCGGGCCGTGTTCTGGGCCTGGAGGCAGCGCAGTGTGGGGGTTCGGATGGAGGCGAGCCTCGGAAGGGCAAGGAGGAGGACCCCCAGGGTGGACAGCCCCCGGGGCCTCGCTGCGTCCCGGCCTCACCGCCCCGCCTGGCCGCCGCCTCCAGGGTCTTCTTCGACGCCTGCGACGGCTTCTTCACCAACTACAACTGGCGGGAGGAACACCTGGAGCGCATGCGCGGCCCGGCGGGGGGGCGCCGCGCCGACGTGTACGTGGGCGTGGACGTGTTCGCGCGGAGCAACGTCGTGGGAGGCCAGTTCGACACGCACAAGGTGGGTGGTGGCCCTGGGGGCCGGGGAGGTGGGCGCGGTGGCCTGCCTGCCCTCCGTGGCCTGTGTGCCTTCTGCGGCCTGGTTTTCCCGGGACCTTCCGTTCCCATCTGTGCTCCAGGGAAAGAGGCCGCGTGCTTCCCAGCGCCGGGACGCTGGGGCCCAGGACACCCGGCTGATGCCGCAAGGCCAGGCTGTGCCCTGGAACCCTAACTTCCAGCCCCTTCCTGCCATCAGGCGCTGCTTTTTACGTGGGTGTAGATGGACAGAAGCAGCTGGGCGACCCCCGCGCTCTAGCGAGCTGTTCCTTCTTCCTGGACTGTGGGCGCTGACGGGCGCCCAGCTGGGGGCTTAGAGCATCGGGTGGGCTTGGGGGGCACTGGCAGCGCACGCATCCACAGGCAGCTCAGGGACCAGGACCGGGTAAAAAAGCCAGTTTGGGGAATTTGGTGGTTTAATAATTAGTGAGATTTTTTTCTGGCAAGGCGAGTCCCGTGGGCAGTGAGGAGAGACAAGAGGGGCTTGCCGGGGCTGGGACCCCGGTGCGGGATGGACAGGGAGTTGGCTCATCTTCCGGACCCGCCGTCCTGCCCCTTCCGGTGCCATGGGGCTGCTCCTGCTCATTAATTAAGCTCTAAGTGAATAAATTATTCCAATAACCGAAGATTCTCTCCACCTGCTCGGAGTCTGGTAACGCGATGAGAGCTGGAGCGAGGGAGAGGCCCGTGCAGGCCGTGGGCGGGCCGCCTCCAGCGCAGACCCCGGCCCACTTACCGCCTTTCTTCCCCCCACTGCGGGCTGATGAGCTGCTGGGGTTGGAGCCCCCTTCCGGGCTGGGTGGGAGGCCTGGCCGGCCAGGCCCCGCTCTGCCCTGACTGCTGTCTCCCCAGTCGCTGGAGCTGATCCGGAAGCACGGCTTCTCCGCAGCTCTCTTCGCCCCTGGCTGGGTGTACGAGTGTTTGGAGAAGAAGGATTTCTTCCAGAACCAGGACAAGTGAGTCCTTCCCGTCCCAGGCAGGGGGTTGGTGTTGGCCAGATGGGGGCTCCGGCATTTTCTCTGGTTTCCCAAGATAGCTCAGGCCTTGTTCTCCACGGACCTTTGCTGCGCACATCGGGCAGGGCTGAGGGGCCCAGTTTGAGAGAAGCCAGCCGTCTTGGCCGCGTCCAGGCTGGAGGGTCCTGGCAACCCAAGCAGGAAGGATGAGGATTGGGGACCCCGGGGGGCCACCCCGCCGCAGACCTGCATCCCCCACACTTTCAGCGGGGGGGGCGCTCACTCTGGGAGGGATGCAGGGGCCCCGAGATGCTGGGAATGAGTTCGGGGTCCGCCTGCACCTTTCCCCGCAGGTTCTGGGCTTTGCTGGAACGCTACCTGCCCACACACAGCATCTGTTCTTTGCCCTTTGTCACCTCTTTCTGCCTGGGCATGGGGACACGGCGAGTGCGTTACGGACAGGTGCGTGGGCTTCCTGGTGGGCTTCGTGGTGTTCAGCTTTGGTTTCACCTGGGACACGTAGGGGGCTCCGGGTGTGGGAGACATGGTGGCCACGCTGCTCCCCCTGCACCCCTTGGGCCCTGTCGGCCCCCGGGCCTCCCTCACCCGGACTTGTCCTCCAGGAGGAGGCGGTGGGGCCCTGGTACCACCCCAGCGCCCAGGAGATCCAACCCCTGTTTGCGGAGCACAGGCTGGAAGGGGCCGGCCAGGGCTGGGTGAGGACGAGCTGCTGTCTGGCGGACGCCTGGCATGGGGGCAGCTCGCTGCTCATCCGTGGGGTGATTCCGCCTGAGGTCGGACCCGTGGCCGTGAGGTAGGTGAGTGAGTGGGGGAGAGATCTGTGACATCGTCGGCGTCCCCCTCGACCCTGTCCCTCACTGTCCTGGGCGGGTGGGTTGCAGCGGCCGGAAGACCAGAAGACAGACAGAGGGGGTTCTCGTGGTAGAAAGCACGTAACGTACCATTTACCGTACGTCTGAGGCATTTCTGAATGTGTGGTACGGTAGCGCGAGCTGTTTGCACGTCATTATGCTATCAGTCTCCAGAATGTTCTCGCCCGTCCCCCCAGCTACCACATTCTGCTGTTTCTGTGGGTCCGACGCCTTGAGAGCCTGCATGAGCTCACCCCGGCCCTCCTCCGGCAGGCTGTTCTCTCTGCACGTGCCCATGCCTCCCAAAATTTTCCTGTCCTTGGTGTATAAACTAGAAGGGCCCTCGGCTGTCGAGGTGGCATTGGAGCTCACCACGGGGGACGCAGGCAGCTGCTACGTGGGTGGCCTCTGGACGCTGGATGGTGAGAGGCGTAGGGCTTCGGCTTCCTGTGGCCCCTCTGTTTCAGGGGACGCCTTGGGGAAGCATCTAGAGAGCACACCAGGGTGTTGGGGAGCCGGGGCTGGGCAGAGGACAGGTGATGTCCTCCATGCTGCTGTGGGCCGGGCCTGGACAGGGAGACACGGGTCAGCTGCAGCCTCCGGCCTGCAGCCCCCACTGGGCAACACGGTTTGCTGTGTGGGCCTGGGTCCCTGTTCCACAGAGACTTGGGGAACGGGTCTCCTGCCTGCCATGGCATTGAGACCCTGGGGAGGGGGTTGGGGAGGCTCTCTGCCCTGTTCTCCTTCCCCCCAAGGCCTGGCACCAGCAGGGGGTCTGTTGGCCTCCAGGCCTCCCCCGCCCCCACTCCGTTCAGTGGACACCTCTCTGCGGTTTCCTTTGGATTCTTCTCATTTTCAAGTCCTGGGTCTCCTCCCCCAGCAGAAACCAGCTCAAGGCACAGCCCCCGGCCCCTCCGGGTGCCCCCCACCAAGCTGGCCAGATGGGTGGGCCGCTGCGGCCAACAGCTCCATGGGGGCTGGGTCCAGCGGTGAGTCTTTTCCTGTTGGGTCTCCAGCCTGGGAGGGCTACCTGCTGGGGGCGGGGGGCTTGAGGGAGGGGCCCTGGGTTGAGAAGCCCCAGAACTGGAGGGATTGGAGGGGCCCTGGCCGACCCCCCAGGTTTCCGGGCAACGCGGGGACATGAGCCCGGGAGGCTGCTGGGAGCGGTCCTGGCCATGACTTCCATCTGGGGTTCCCGCTGGCCGCAGGGCCCATGTCGGGATGGCCCTCTGTTCCCGCCACGGCTCCTGGCCTCTGAGCAGCCGGCCTCGAGGCACTGGGGGAGGCGGGCGCCTTGTGACCGGCCCGTCACCTCCCCCAGCTGCTACGAGGTGAACCTGCGGGACTGCCTCCTGGGAGACCTGCTCGTTAGCTTTGCGCGGCCGGCCGGCAGCCGGGAGGAAGCAAGCTTTGTCTGCAGGCTCGGGGAGATCCAGGTGGGCCGTGGGGTGCGGGTGTGGGCGGAGGGGCCTCTGGTCACACAGGAGGCTGAGGGCCAGTGGGGCGGAGTCCCCGAGGAGCGGGAGTGTGGGGCGGGCACCCCGCGCCGCCGGTGGGCGTCAGGGCGAGCCCTCTCTCTCCCACCAGGTGGTGGATGCCGACAGCCTGCTCCGCCCGCTGCCCCGGGTGCTGGCCGTCACTGTGTCCCGCGTGCACTGGCAGCCGGCCACGTCCGAGGAGGAGGAGGGGGGCGCCCCTGCCCGGCTGCGGCTCAGCTGCACCCTGCACTGGTCCTACCTCCTCTCTCCCATTCGATGCTTCCGGATCCACTGCCTCCCAGGGAGTGGTGGGGGCTCTCCACGCGGGGGGCCGCCAGGGCCCGACAAGCCCGCGCTCCTGGGCCTGGCCTTCGTCAACCAATACCGGGTAGTGGAGCTGCCGGTGGCAGCCGCGGGGCCTGGCAGGGACAGCCGTGTGCAGTTCCTGGTGGAGCCCGTCCCCAAGGAGGGGTTCCTGGTGCCGCAGGCCGAGTGGGGCAGGGCAGCCCTGCTCTACTCCCTGCCCCAGCTGTGAGCCAGCGCCAAAGCTGGCGTCTCCCCGCCTCTGAGCTCAGGGCCCCACGCGGTGTCTGGGAGCCCACGGGTGCCAGATGGCTGTGGCTGGGGCTGTTCAGTGGTGGATGCCGGTGACAGGAAAACCAAGAAGTCCGTTTGCTGGGCTGATGATTTCCCGAGGTTAATGAACTCTGTTATGTCTAATCCCTGTCTGGAGTACAGATTCCCAGGTACGAGGGACAGGGTTTGGGAAAGCTAGTCACACCAGCTCCCCGAAGGGTGTTTCCTAACTTGACAGGCTTACGTGGGACAGGAAGCCTCCCAGCAGGCCCTGGAAGCGATTCCCAGGGTGAGGGCTGGGGGCTGAGCGTGGCAGGGAGCTAGGACGTGGTGCCCTGGGGGCTGACCTGCTTCCCCTTAGGACTAGGGAGCCCAGGGCCCGGCCGGCACCAGGCTGCACACCCCACCCTGGGCCAGGTGGCCCGTCCTCGTCCGACCTCCCATGTTGTGGCTGGCTCCGTGTGCGGTCCCGTGAGCCGGAGCTGTTTGCAGAGCCTTCCCATCGGCCCCGCACACTGCTGTGTCTCTTCTGGGCCGTGGGTACTGGCGAAGCTTGCACAGAGCCGGACTGTGGGTCTTGGCTCTGTGTCTGCAGTGAGCGAGGCTGTATAGGCTCGGGGAGTGGGAGGCTGGCCAGGGCCCAGAAAGGCCCTTGGCTGCAGCCTAGCCCAGCCTTGCAGTGGGAGCTCTGGCGGTCTGCTCCTTCCTGTCCTCCGGCCTCAGCCTCTCCCAGGGGAAGGGGTGGGGGTGGGGCACCGAGGCCCCTGTGAGCACAGGTGCCTTGAGAACCCTCTCCACTGGGCCCCCTTCCTGTCTTGCCACCTCCTCTGTCTTCTAGCACCTTCCTTCCCTCTGCCTGGGCTGAGGCCAGCCAGAGGCTCTGTAGGGAGGAGAGGATGGGGTGAGTGGGCCAGAGACAGCCCCTGCCGACCACACGGCTCCCCTGGTGACCCCGGGGCCAGCATGCTGGCCTCCAGGGGGTGGGCACCCTCCACCCCGTAGCCTGGGGCTCTCTGCTGCGCCGCCCAGCTTCTGTCCTTGGCCTGAGCAGCGTCCCTTGTTCTGGGGGTCTTACCCCCGCGTCTCACAGGGCCGTTGATGGGGGGTATTATGCCCATTTCTCTGCCCTCCACCTGTGCTATGCGACATGAAGCAGTGCCAAGGGCCATGACCCTCCCAGCTCGGGGTCCCGCCTCTTGGCTGTCCTTGGGTGCAAGCCCCAGTCCTCAGCCTCGCTCCTACATTGTAGGGAGGGGAGCGGCCACTAGGCGGCAATGCAGCCGCACCGCTCCTGGTTGTCCAGAATTCAGGAATCTGAGCCTGGTCCGGTGGCCCTGGTGAACCTTGGCCCTTAGGACGGCAGAGGGTGTGTCCCTCCAGGGCTGCCTCCATCCCCTCCCCCCACCCCGCCCCCGGCCCGGGTGCCTCTTTCCCAGGGGGACAGAGGGACATTTTACTCTCCATGTCCCACGTGTGGCCCAGCCAGCTTGGTCCCCTGTGGGGAAGGGCTTTGCCCAGCAGAGCGGGAGGACAGCTCAAGCAGGACAGGAGGACGCCTCCACTGACCAGCTCAGAGCACAGGTCACCCAGCACCTGCCTGTCCCCGTGAACCTGGACAGGGCGGTGGCAGGGGGACCAGAGTCACAGCCGCTTGGAGCTGCTCCCGCGACCGTGTTCTTGGTGTGGACCACTGGTTTGCTTTGAGCCTCCCATTTTGTACCGGGGGGTCTGGCTCTGCCCCGTGTCTCCAGAGGCGGGAGTCGGGCGAGGCAGGGTGCCCGGAGGTAGGCAGCAGCTCTCCATTGTCGCAGCCTGTTGGCTTGAAGTGTCTGTGCCCCCAGCCAGTTTATGCAGAGGAGGAGGGAAAATTGATGGTGCAATTATTTTCTCACAGTCTGGTGAGCAGGCGATGAGAGGTGAGGGGTTAGAGCGCAGTGCGTGGTGGGGGCAGAGAGCTCCCGAGAGCGCTGTCCCTATCCCACGCAGAGTAGGGGCTCGGGGGCAGGAAAATGAGTATGTTGGCATTTAAGCCTGTGCACGTCTGGCGGGTGTCGTCACTCTGAAATAAATGATCCGAAGTGAAACGTGAAAAATTCGTGGGTGAGCTGCGTTGTGGACTGGCTACCTTGGTTTTGGGACGTGCACTTGGCCCAGCCGCCCCCAGCCCGGGGCTTGGACCCTCTGCTTTCCTTCCCAGTTCCATTTCGTCTTTTGGGGGGCTGGTGAGGGTGGCAGCTGCCCTCCACCGAGCCTCCCAGGGATGGGGACCCGTGCCTGTGGGCCTCCCTTGAAGCAGCCCCCCGACTCCCTCAAGGAACCACCACCCGACCCACATCACAGGGGCAGTGGCCGCGGTGTGGCTGGGATCTGAGGACCCTCCGCTCTGGGACGTCCCCAGCCCCGTCCCCTCTCCTGTCTGCACTGGGCGGGCCACAGCTGCTGAGCAGCGCGACGACTGGAGGCCCGGCCGGGTGTCTGAGTGCAGTAGCTGTTGCTCAGCTGGGAGGGACCCTGGGTGGCTCCCACGGTGCACAGAAGGATGAGGCAGCTGGGAGGACACGCGTGGGCCCGGCCTCCAGCCTGTTCTGGGTCAGGGTGGGGAAAGGAGCCGGAGGATTGGGGCTCTGGAGTCTCTTGCCCAGAAGGGTCTGCCCGGCAGAAGGTGGGCCAGACCCTGGGACAGGCTGCGGATCCTGGGCCTGCCCTGGCAGGTGCCCCCGTGCTCCACCCCTGGGCCCTGGGGGCAGCCAAATAAAAAAGAGTTGTCCTGGTTTGAAGAAAGAAATCTTTATTAATAATCTTAATAATACTGTTGATTTGAATGGTCACACCTTGGAAGCATACAGAATGGTAAGAAAGGAAGCCTGGGGCCTGGCTGCAGTCCTGGGGGGGGCGGGGGGGCGGGGCAGGGGCGGAGCAGCAAGGGGCTCTGGACGGGCGGGGCCGCGCGGGCTCTGTACAACAGGAATAGAAAAGGGGCTCATTTCAGGAGCTGATGCTGAATATATAAAGTGAGGTGTGGTTTTTTGTTTTTTTTTTTTGTTTGTTTTTAAGTTTCATGAGACAGTGGAGCCGTGTTGGGAGCCTAGGTCGTATTTTTTGCTGCGTCCCCTACTCCAGCTCTCCCTGCCTGGCGGGGGCTCCTTCCTGCTGCCCACCTCTGCTCTCCCGCCCCCCCGGGACCCACACCTGGGTCCCGGGCGATGATCCAGGCCTTTCCCCGTCTTTCCCCCTGCTCGGGCCTGGCCATCCAGCCCCGTGGCGCCGTGACTCCCGACCTCGCCGTGCAGCCAGGCACTGGCCGCCCCACCATGGCCCTCTGCTCCCCTGCAGGACAGTGCGGGGAGGGCTTGGCCCTGCAGGCGGCAGGGGGTCGGCTTTCCCTCCCACTGACCAGGCCCAACCCTGCCCCCAGCAAGGGGACAGGAAACAGGCGCCGGGGCCCGTCCGAGCTCGGAGCTCGCCCTCGGCCCCGAGGCCTCTGCCCTGATGCTCACTCTTAGGTTTGAGGTGTGATCCTGGCTGGGCGGCCCAGGAGCCCCCTCACGTGGAGCAAGGGGGGCCTGGGCGCCCCACAGTTCTGGAACCACGTTAGCCCTCGGTGTTGGGGGTCGGACCCCAGGGCTGCCCGTCGGACTCTGGTGGCCTGCGAGCCCCCTCACCAGGTTTGCAGAACACGGTGCTGGCGGCATGGCGCAAGGGGGAGCTGGGGCCCAGACAGCTGGACGTGAGGGGGACGGGCACGGGCTGAAGCCAGAGACCCCGGGAACGAAGAGCTACCCCCCCACACCCACCCCAGCCCAGCCGTCCCCTCCGCTGGCACAGTTGGCAACAAAGGTCAAGTCCTGCTGGCTGCTCTCCCGGCTCAGGCCTGTGGCCTGCTGCTCCGTGGGGCCCGCGTGCCCTGGGAGTGGGGGGCCGGAAAGGAAGACTTGGTAGAGAAGAGGCCCGTTCCCCTTCTGCGCTCCCCGCCGGCCGGGGAGGGGTGCTGGCGGCCCGCGGTGGCCAGGGAGGGGCGGGGCCGCCGACGTGCTCCCTCGCTGCGCTGTGTGGCGCCTGCCGCGACGTGGACGTGGTGGATGCTTCTCGGTTTGGTTGGTTTTTTTGTTGCTTGGATCTTAACATCTTTTTTTGTTTTTTTTGTTTTGTAATTTTTTTTTGTTTTTTGTTTTTTGTTTTTGCCCTTCATGGTCCAAGAAGAAAACGGTGGAAGCTTTCACTACAACAGAAACAGAAAGGCAGGACTTGCAGTTTCACGGAAGCAACGCCAGGCGCGTTTGAGGACGGACAAGGCCTGGCGTCCGTGCAGGGAGGAAGGGGGCCGGGGCCCTGCAGTCCTAGCGCACATCCCCCACCAGCCTGTCCCCCGGGGCCCAGCTTCTGGGAACCCATGGTCTTGGGTGAGCTGAACTGAAAGCCGACCCTCTCTGGGGCGGAGTGTGGGGACCGGTGCGGGGGAGAAGGGGCGGCCGGAGCGGTTGGCTGGTGCCGCCTCTGGGCTTGGCCCGAGCAGAGCGGGGGCCTGGCTGGCTCTGCGGGGGCGAAGACAGAGGGCCGTGGGTGGACAGCACAGGCCGTGAGGGGCTGGGAAGGAGGCGGTGCTCCTGGCAGTGGCAAGTGAGGCAGCCAGGCACCTTGGCCGGGTCCAGCAGCTAAGAGCCGGTGTGTCCTGGCTGGTGGGGGTGGGGGGGCCCACACTCTCTAGCTGGCACCGGAAGCCCAGCTCTGGCACGCTAGGGGACCTGGGCTTCCCTGGCCTGAGACACCTCCTGGAACGGAGGCAGGGTGCCGTCCCGACTGGGCAGCCTACCCCATGAGGCTACCTGGGCTGTCTCGGCTTTGCCCGCGGGCCCTGGCCAGCATGTTCCCACCAGGGCCCTTTACGACCCTGGGCACCGCGGGGCCACAGAGAGACCACCATGCCTCTCTGGACGGGAGGCTGGCTTCGAGTGCCGTGTCGCCGAGCAGGCCGGCGATGGGCCTCCCCACCAGGCCTCCCCTGCTCGCCCCTTCTCAAGTGTACCCTGATGAAAGGACGTTTCCAAGCCTGGGGAAGGGGAAGGGCGCCGGGCTGGCCGGGACCCCATCCCTGGCAGTGAAGGGTGCCATCTTCAGAGCATGGCTGGAGGGGAGAGCTGCTGCTGGAAGAAGCACTGCGGCGAGGGGTCCGGGTGTTTCTTCCTACACTTTTGTTTATTACAACAAAGGCTAAGCAAGGAGCCCTGAGGCCAGCGTGGCCGTGGCAGTTTCCGCCTGCACTGTCTTGGGACCGCCTCGGCAGGAAACGTCCTCAAGAAATGCGAGCTGGAAATGTTAGGTTTTAGCTGTTCTGGGGCGAGGAAGGCAGATGTGGCTCCTCCCGCCATCAGCTGGGGAAGGCGGGAGGGGCCGTGGTCTGGGCCCGAAACCCCGCTCCAGTGGACAGGAGCTTCTCCTCACTCCCCGGACCCCAGGGGTGGGGCAGTGGCTGTGGGTGTCTTCTGTGGCTCCATAGCCCCAGGGGATGGGAAGTGGGGGTCGCCCTGGTGGGCTCTATTGCTAGTTCTCCGGGAGGGGTCTTGTGCCCAGGCCAGCCCCTCCCGCTGCGCACATACTGTACCTGAAATGGCTTGGGGGGAACATCATCAACAAAGTCAAAATAGGAAGCAAGGTTTCAGACATACAGGGGCAACCAGGGTCAAAGACACACACGCCATCGTGAGGGGCAGGGAGACCCGCTGGCTGGAGGTGGACCCTACGGGCTTTGGCGTCGCGGGCCGCTGACTGGGGGGGGCGCACTGTCCTCCCGGTGGCTGTGCCTGGTTTTGGACTGCTGGGTTTGGTGTGTGCTGAGCAGTCAGCGTGAGTGCTGCTAGGGGCTGGCCCTCTTGCTAGTAGGGGGTGAAGCGGCTGTACCCTCCTCGGCACAGGCTGGCCTGCAACATCAAAGACGACAAACAGCCAGTCAGCACCGCCTTGGGGGTGGGGGGCAAAAAGAAATCACTAAATCCCACTGTTCGACCCCTTGTGAAGGTTCGCCTTGGCGGGGAGCGAGTGCTGGTTCTCATGGCATCGGGGGGCCCTGGGCCTAGTCCTTCCGTGCCGGGGGTGACGGGCGCCAGGGGGCTGCCAGGGTCATGGGCCACAGCGCTCCTGGACAATGAGGTTGGAGATGCCTCTTAGGCCTGGCCCTTTCCTGACCCCCTTCGCCTTAATGGGGGTGGGGGAGGTCTCAGCACCCCCCGGGGCTGCCTGCCTGGGCTTCGGGCAGGACTCAGGACGGGGAGGGAACCTCCTGCCAGGGCTCCCCAGGCCTTGGTTCTGCGAGGAGGGGCTCTGCCTGCTCGCCTGGCCCCTTGGAGCTTCAGGGGGTCCTGGGGTCCCTGCTCTTCCCCCAGGTCCTTGCCTGGGCCCCCCGTCCTGCTGAGGAGGACAGGTCTCTGGCGCTCTTGCTCCTGTGTCCCTTGGCTGCCCTGGATCGGAGACCTCTCCAGAGGAACCTCCTCCCCAGTTTCAAAAGAAAAAGGAAGAAGATGGCAAATGCCGCAGAAAAAACTTGGGGGGAGAAACCAGAAACTCTTAAAATAAAAACGAGAACTTAAGGGGGCTCCTCTGTGAATGAATGAAAGCTTCGAGCCAGCAGCTGCGCAGAGGCCACGCTGACCCCGGAGCCAAGGGGCCCGCACACTGCATTTCTGGGGCCCCCATCTGGGAAGGGGCGGCCGCAGTCGCTGCGGGCTGCTGGGGATGCCAGGAACTTGTTAAAAATCAAAAAAGAGAAAACAAAAATTGGGAGGGGGTAATCAAAACCAAGGGAGAAGGAACAGGGAGTCCCTGTTGGCTCTGGACCTCCCTCTCCCCCGCCCCGGAGAAATGTGTTCATCTTTGATGCTGGACGCCACGCTAGCTAAAAAGTGACATTAACAGCCCCTGGGGCTGGGGGTGGGCACAGGAGACAGTGTCCCCTGGAAGCAGGTCTCAGGGTACAGAGTGAGCTGGGCTGCATGTGTCCACAGCTGGTCACACACACACAGACACAGACACACACACACACACTGGCCCACCAGGAGTGCCACGGAGGTGGCCTGTGGGGGCAGCCCTCGTCCCTCTCCTTGAAGTGAGGAAAAGGTCAGTGCCAGGGCGGGGAGGAGGGGACGACAGGACACACAGGGGCCGCGGCGAACACAGCCCCACGAGAGGCGCGGAGGCCCTCCTGGCCTCTGGAGCCTTGGAAAACGGGGAAAAGCAGGCATCCCAGGTGCTCCCCACAGGGTCAGATGTCCTTACTGGGCAGCTGCCCGTCCGGACGGAACTGCCTCCCCCAAAGTCCCCGAGGGCACCAAGGGGCACGTTCTCCCCCAAACTTCCATCCAGCCCTTGGTCCCTCCGGGCACTGGTCGGAGGCTGGGTCATTCTCAGGGCCTGCCCGCCCCATCCCAGCCGCGGCGCCTGGCCCTCCTCGCCACAGCCGGTGCCCAGGGCCGGGCCGTCCCCGCCTCCTTACCATGGTTCCGATGCTGTAGGTCGCCGCAGGGCCGATGGTGTGGTGGTAAGGGTCAGCGGCTGCATAGACCCTGCCGTAACTAGGGAGACGAGCACAGGGAGGGAGGCGGGTGAGGGACGGTGACGGGCGGGTGAGGTCTCCCCCTCCCAGACATCTCAGGAGTGTCCTCCAGTGTGTCCCACCTGCCAGCCAGCCCTGCCCCCCGCCCCTGCATGACCTCCTCCCCAGCCTTTCTGCCCGTTTAGAATGAAGCGTCCAGAACACGGCTGGCCACGCTCTCAAGTCTCCCAGTGTCCACTGACCCCGACAAGGGGCCGCACAGAAGGTAAAAGGGGCCCTCCCAGAGCTGCGGTCGAGGAAAGCTTGACCCCCAGAATAAGGGCAGGGTGCTGCGGAAAGGCTCAAGGCAGGACCAGAGGACATGGGGGCAGGCAGGGAGGTCACCACGAAGTGTCCTGTGGCCCCTTGATGACCTTCCTCTCTGTTCAGTGCGTGTGTGAAATGCCAGCTTCTTGTGGGGCAGGCTGGGCCCGCTGTGCACCCCATAAACCCCCATGTGAGATGGTGTGGGTCCACGGGTGCCCCTGGGCGGCAGGGACAGGTGGCCGTCAGGCCAGAGCCCAGCACGTGCCTGGTGGGAGGACTCTGTGCCCGTGTGCCAGGCCAGGCCACCCCTGGGACAGCCCCTGCGTCCTGCCCTCCTGACCCAGAGCTACCCCCACCCCCCGGCCTCTGCGTGTGCTCGCAGCTGGCCAGGAGGCTGGCGGCTCTCAAATGGCCACACTGTCCCCCTGGTGTCACTACACTGTAGCTCCCCCCCCCGCCCCAAGGAGGGCACGCTCACAGCCTCTCCTCAGCATGAAGGGGCCTCCGACCTGGAATCCCTGAGCCGGGTCAGAGGGGGGCATCTGGGGGCAGAAGTGGGGCCTCCTAACTCCCCTGCTTACAGGAGGTGGGGGGGTGCCTCCAGCGCTTGGGGAGGGGGTCAGGCCTCCAGGGCTGGGAGTCAGAGGAGAACTGAACTGGGGGGTGGGGTTCGCGGCCTCCCCAGCCATGCCAGTAGGAAGTGACTGAAGAAATCGGGGGCTCAGGGGCCTCAGACATGCTCTCCTCCGTCCAGGTCCAGACCCTGTGCCACCAGACCCCCAGGCCTGGGTCGCGGGGAAGTCTGAGCCCACCCGTCCAGGGCCCCATGGTCCTACTGTCCCTCTTCACCCCGATCGCTGTCTCAGCCATACCTGTCACTGTAGGCTGCTGTGGCTGCTGCAGGCTGAGCGTATCTGTAGGCTGCATAGCCCCCCTGCAGGGGAATGGGGAGGGAGAGACAGCACAGGGACTTAGTGGTGCAGAGACAGTCTTCCAACCTTTGCCGTGGCCCTGAGAGCCCCGGCTGGCGCAGGCCTGCTGCGTGCACCTAGCTTCTGGTCTACCGGAGGTCTAAAGCCCGAAGACAGTGGCCTGGTTCGAGGGGAGGGAGCGGGCACAGGTTCAACACACACCAGTGGGCCCCAATGATATGTCTGGCTGTGTTTGTGGCTTTGACTCATGACCAGTGCCCACAGACATGCCACCAGCCCAGTGAGCCCCTGAATTTGATGCCGGGGGCGCTGAGAACCCATGGGGGACTCAGGGTGCCATCCTGGATACTGGGAAGGGTCAAGGGCAGACTCAGATCACGTCTTGACCCTGGCACAAAGGGACTGTTGAATTATGGGCAACTGCTCAGGATGACATGGGTGCCCGAGGGGGCTCACTCAGTGACCCCAGTGTGGATAGGGAAACAGGAGAGCCACCCCTGTCTCCATCACCCAGTGTCCTGTGGACTGGAGAAGATGTGGGCATAGCCCAGGCTCAGCTATGCCGAGGTCCCCAGGGACCCCGTGTCCTGGGCACTCTCACCCTCCCCGGTTCCAAGGATAGGGAGGGATGGGTGGGGGAAGGGAAGACCCTGGAAATCAGCTGAAGGCCTGGACCGCTGTCCCCCCACCCAGCCCTCATCCCCCCCGGGGCCACACTCACATAAATCTCAGCACCGTAAAAGCCATCCTGATACACGACCCTGGAAGCAAACGGACAAGAGAGTGGTGGGAACGCTGGAGAGGTGGGGTAGGCCGGCTCCGGTGTCTGCGGAGGGAGGGGGCAGGTTGCCAGCCCTGCCCATGGGACTGGCATTTTAACAAGCGTTTGCTCCAGTGCCCTGTTTTGGTATAACAATAGAGTAACACCCTTGCTGGTCAGCTCCGTTCTCCCATAAAGCCATGGGCCCCTTGGCCCATGTTGCTTACCCTCCCCCCACCCCAGCCCAGGCAGCTGCTCCCCCCATCCAGGCAGAGGGCACTGGGCCCAGGGGAATGGACCAGAGAGAGCTTAGAGCAGGCCCTCGCTAGGCTCAAGGGCCAACCACGATCCCATCCAATCGTCCAGCAAGGTGCTGGGGCTCTAAATGTCCCCCAAATGCCAGTGACCCTTGGTTCCCATGGCAGGATGGGGTTGGGGTACAATATGAGGGTGACTGTAGTGTGAAGGTCTGGGGGTTCCCACAGCGCCCCGCAGTTCTGGAAAGGCTGCCTCGCCCCTCTGGCTGCCCAAGGCCTCCCTCCCCGCACCCCCTGGGCCAGTTCTCTATGCCTCCCTCCCCGTGCCTCCCCAGGTACTCACGCTCCGTAAGTTGGGATGGGGGGCGGGGGCGGCGCAGCCCGAAACGTATTATACACGGCCCGGCCCCGACCCCGTAGGTGCGCGCCCCTGTAGGCAACGGCTGTGCCCGTGGTGGGGTAGGGAAACCCCGTCACTGCAGGAAAGGGGGCCAGAGAAGAGGCGGTGAGAGGAAAGGCCCAGAGACGGCGCGGGCAGGACAAAGGGTCGGGCCGGGCGCAGCCACACCTGGCCCCGCCCAACCACACCTGCACGACCACGCCCCAGCCTACGCGCGGGCCACGCCTCCCGCCTGGCCACGCCCTCTGGCCGCTCCCCCCCACAGGCCCGGAACGACGGCTCCAGCCTGTACCTGCATAGAATTCAGGCCCGTAGACGGCGCCCACCACGGGGTTCAGCTTCCAGCCTGGAAGAGAAGCAAAACAGCCCCAGTCACCGTCTCCCCATCCTCTCCCCATCTCACACCATCCCGGGGCCTCCCACGTAGGGCGGGGCCTCTGCAGACGGCTGGCTGGACCCCTCCTTCTGCAGGCAGGGCGAGCAGAGGGCACCCGGCCCCTCTCGGGATGCTGCAGCCTGACCGGGTCTGACCTTCTGCTCCCTAAATGCCAGGGACCGAGTCACTCCTGACCCATCTGTCTTTGTGATTCCACCCCCCCCGCCCCGCCCCCGGCCAAGCCTGCCCGGGGCCCCAGCCCTGCAGCTCGGAGTCTGCAGTCTCTGCCGGCATTAGGAAGGGACATCTGCAGGCCCACAGCCGGGATGAGGGCTCTGGCGGCGCCCCTGCTTCAGCACAAGATAGAGCCCAGGCATCCGAGCGCCGCTGTCCCTTAGGAGGCCTGGCTGCTTTCGGGGCAGGGTCCTCGCAGCCGTGAGGGGCGGGGCTTCTGCCACAGCCTCCTCCCACCTCCTGCCCCACAGCTTCTGTCCTGGGGTGGAGCTCCTTCCCCACTGCTGTCCTGCCCTGGCCGTCCCCAGAGCAGCAGTGGAAAGGCTTCCTGGGGAGGAAAGGGCCTTAGGATTCGAGGTAATGATAAAGACAACTGACATTTCCTTAGCACCTCACCCTGGGCCACGCTGGTCTAAACCCAGCCAAGGAGGTGGGTGTCACGCCCTCCCATTTTACGGATGAGCAAGTGGAGGCTCAGGGAGGTGCAGCAGCCTCACAGCCCAGAGCTGGCAAGTGGCAGAGCCAGACCCAAACCATACCCACACTCCTGGCCATTTCCCAGCCCCCAGCTGTCGTCTTCGCCTGCCACTTCTCCCCGTCTGCAGGTGGGTGGGCTCAGGCCACTGGCTTGGGGCCCTGGGCTTCTGGGCCAGTCTTCCTCTCCCATCAGGGACCAGGTGCAGAAGTGCAGCCTGCTTCCATCTGAGGCCCCCAGGGGTGGACGCCGGCTGGCTTTGAGGGCGCTCTGGCCCCAAGCGCTAGCTCAGACAGCACGGGCTGGGGATGTATACTTGACCGAGCCCAGCCCCCTGGCCCTACCAGTGTATCTGGTCTTATGTTTGCAGGAGGCCCTGAAGGCTCAGCTCCATTTCCCTCTTGACTTTGTGAGGCGGGACAAAAGGGACTGAGCCCACTGGCCAGCTAGCGAGATACCTCTGGAGAGAGACCAGGCCATTGGTGTCAGACTCTACCTGTGAGCCTCATACCCAGATTCTAACATCCCTGTTGGGCGTCTGGCTGGAAGGCATTTAGGACAGAGTGTCTGCGACCATGTTCCTCCTGGGGGCCCGTTCTCCACTTTCCATGACACTGTAGGCCACCTTCCCTCCCTGGTCACCATCACCTGACCAGCGTGCATGTCTGTGTCTGAGCGTTACTGCTGAGAATCTGGAACCTTCTCTAAATCCCCGATCAGGAGGGAAAAAAGGTTTCATCTCCAGTCCCACGAACTGAATCTTCTTAGTAAAAACCCATGACGGAGCAGAGTCCCGGAGCAATGGCCCGAGCCCACCTCCTCCGGGCTGCAACCCAATGGTTGTTCTGGGTCCATTCTTGAAGGTGGAACTTCTCTTGAGATGGTCCCGGCATGTGCACCCGCTGATTCTCGAATCCGGGGCCTCTGTCACTGCTCCCTGGTGCCTCTGTCACTGCTGCCAGTTCCATTTCACTGTGCGGGACTCCAGATGAAGAGGCGGCCAGAGACCCTCCTGGGCGGCTCCTTTGTTTCTTCTGTAAACGGTCTTAACACCTGGTCAAACCTAGTGAGCTCGAGGCAGACACTTCTGCTCCCCTCCCCCCAACTGAGGAACTTCTGAGTGTTCTGGAGTGTTTAAGCCACACGCCCGGGTCACCAGAGCCCACACGCTGTGCTCCACTGTCCGCCACAGAGAACCCGGGCCCGGCCCACAGCGGTCTTCGTCCTTCTTGCTCAGGCCGGTGAGGACGCTTCCGTGAGACTGTCACCGGGAGCACTTGGCCATTCTTGCTGTGCGAGCCGTGCTGCTTCCGAGCCCATCCTGCGCCAGGAATGTGGTCGCTCAGGGCCAGACTCCGTTCGGAATTCTGTGCTTCCTGACATCCTCAGGCTCTCCCAGAGAGCCGGGGGGAGGTGGGGGTGGCTCTTGGATAAAGCAGGCGTCTGGCTCCCAGTGATCGTCCTGACCCTCTAAACACATCTGTCTACCGCTCTGCCTTCCTGAGCCAGCACACAACAGGAGCTCGGGACACTGCCTAAGCCAGGCAGCCCCAGAGTTTTAGGAAAATGTGAGCTTTCATAGTCCTCGGGAAAGCAGGATGGGAGCCAAAATAATCTAGTCTAAATGTGGACCCTGTCGTGTTCCAGGAGGGCCCCTGGGGAGGCCCTGCTGGTAGGTCATGTGGTGGATCCCCCCCTAGTGTCCTGCCCCTTGCTGGCCTGTCACCTGAGTCACACAGGGACAGGAGGGCTGGGGGCTGGGAAGCCGAGGCGTCGGCCTGCAGGGAGGCTCATCCTGGCTGAGCAGGGCCGCTGTCCCCCCGCATGGGGACAAACGCAAACAGGCGAGCATTGCCGGCTGCGCTCCAACCTGTAAGCCCGTCCGCATTGCTGCTCGGAGCCGAGATGCGCAGGGATCGAGGGCCACCCCTCCACTCAGCCTCCGCGGTTCTGTCTTTGAGGAGGATGGGGTGCCTTGGCTCAGGCCCTGGGCGTGCAGGGCAGACCACTCAGCTGAAGCGCATCACGGAGCACGAGGCTCCCGTGGGGGCCTCAACCTTCCAGGGTCTGCAGGGCAGGGGTGGGGAACTGCCCTAATCTTCAGTTTCACTGAGTATCCAGGACCTCTAGCCCAGGCACCCCTCACTGCTTAGAAACTACGTAACGATCCAGGAAGGGGCCACCACACCCACAGTGCCCGAAGCCTGTCCACATGGGTGTGCTGCGGGCTTGGGAAGGCCCAGGCGTCCTGCCAACTCTGTGGATGGGGTGGGCGGCCCCAGCCGTCCCCCAATCCACCCCCTGCTGATGTGGCATTGCTGGGACACGAGTGGACACTCAGCATCCAGGAAGGGGGCCCACGGCCCCTGCGGCCTCCCCGAGGTCCTGGGCCCCTTACCGTTAGTGTAGGGGTTCGCAGTCTTCTTGTTGGTCATGACGCGGGCTGTGGCGTTGTTGACCTGCCCAGAGAGAAGGGAGAAGGTGAGGATGAGGGGAGAGTTAGCCTTCCCGTAGGCCTCTGGCCACCCCGGTCCTGTCCTCCACTGCTTCCGCACAGCCGCACGGAGGGAGCTGGGAGTTGGGAGGAAGGCCCAGGACAGTCGCTGCTATCCGCCTGGCCCCCAGCCCTGGCCTGCCCTCTTCCCGGGCCTCCCCTCTCCACTGTGCTGCCCCCCACTCCGGGGAGCCTTGGCCACCACTGCTCCCAGCCCTCAGCTCAGGCACCGTGTCTGGCCACTGGTTCTTGTCCTTCACGTCCTGCTCCCACAAAGCAGACCCAGTCTCTCTCTGACAACCCAAGGCCACTGGAGAGGCTGCCTGGTGGACTCTCCACAAAGTGCTCTCAGCCTGACCCACCGGCCCCAAGACATTCTGTGCCCTTGCTGGCTGCTGAGGCCTTCCAAGTCCTGGGCAACCCTCTTGTGGGGGTAGCGCGCCATTCCTGAGGCCAGCAGAGAGCGCTGATGGGACCCCTCAGGAGCAAGGCCAATGGGAGAGGAGGGGTGGGTGCCAAGGGGGTGTGTCCTATCCCCAGGCTAAGACCCTCTCCCTAGAGACGCAGACTGGGGTGTAGAAAGGCGAAGGGGAAGACCTCTATGGGAGGAAGCAGAGAACGGGGCAGGTGGTGGAAACTGAGAAAGGAATCTGGGCCATTCTGTGTCCCCCATGTCCAGGGTGAGGCCCTGGACCTCAGGCTGCGTCCCCAGGTGCCCGCCGGCCATGGCCACTGGCTGAGGTCAGTGCCTGTAGTACCCCCTCTGCTTCCAGAAACCCTCCCCTGAGGCCTTTCCACTTCTCTTCCCGTGGACTCTGCACTTGCTGCGGACCCTCTCCTCTCTGACTACCTCCTGCTGCCCTGCCTGCCTAGGAGCCCCGCTGCCAGACACCCAGAGCCATAGCACTGGGGCGGGGGGCACAGGCAGCCCACCAGAAAAGGGGCAAGGAGGGTTGAGCGGGGGTCCCTGGCCTCCTCTCTCTGATGCTTCTCCGGGCTCGGTCCCTTCCTGGCAGTTGGGGAAGGTGAGGTTGGGGTGGGGGGGCCTGTGGCTCCCTGCTGGGAAGGGTCAGGGCATTAACAGCACCCCCCAACCGGGGGACAGGCAGAGCGGGCTCTGTCCTTGGAGCGGCCAAGCCTCAAACATGATTTCCGGGGCTTCTCCCAGGGTCTGGCTGGTGCCCATAGTTGGGGGGCCTCCTCCAGAAAGCAGAGATGGGAGCCCTTCGGTGGGCCCATGAGGGGTGCCAGGACAGGGGCCGGGCCCTGCCTCCCTGCTCCGGGGATCCTGGTCTGTCTCTCCGCAGGGCGGCTGCGGGGCGGGGGAGGGGCACCTGGGCGACAGCGGCGGTTCTCAAGGGCACGCCCTGCGCAGCACACTTATCTGAGCACCTCAATTTTCCGTCCCTCTACGATCGTCCCATTCAGCTTCTCCCGGGCTCGGTCAGCGTCTGAGCTAGTTTCAAAAGTTACAAACCCAAAACCCTGTGAGCGGAGAAGGACAGGCACGGAGAGAAAGGATGAGAGGAAGGAAGACATAGGAGGAGTGGGGTGGGGGACAGGGCAGTGGGGGGTGGAGAGAAGGGGGGGGGGGGGAGAGAGAGAGAGAGAGAGAGAGGGACTGAGTCAGGTGAGTTGAAGGAGAGGTCAGCAGCCCAGAGACCTGCCCTGGTGCTACCGGCAGGATGCCCAGGAAGGGTAGGGCCCCAGGCGGGGGCAGCTGTGGGCCTGACCCGAGCCTGGCCTGCACCGACGGCCTGGCACCTCCCGGAGGACAGGCCAAAGCTCCAAGAGAGATGCTAACCTGTGCCAGAGACCAGGACGGTCACCCTGATGCCCCCTGGGGGGCAAGGTGGGGCAGGGGGCGGGGTGGTCAGGACCTCCGGGGGCAGCCCCACCCCCCTTCCCCCCAGGAGCCTGCATGGGGGGTCTTCCCTTGCCTGTGCAAGGAGGAGGATTTGTCCGTGCCAGGCCCCCTGCCGCTGCCCACCCTGCAGCCGCACCCCCAAGCCTCCAGCTCTGGGCAGGCCAGCGGCCCCCCCAGGAGGAGCAGCTGGGCAGGTGAGGCCCCGGACGGAGGGGCCCAGGGCTCCGGGCGCAGACAGAGAGGTCCTGGCAGCTGGGAGAGAAGAGACGTCGTCGCCGCTGCGGCGACAACAACACAGACAGCGGGGGCGGGGCGGGGAGAGGCGGAGGAGCGGGGAGTACAAGCACCCGTGTAGCTCAGGGGTCCTCGGGCGTGAAGCTCTCCAGGAAGGAAACGCACACGTTAGCCTGGCGGGACCTACAGCCGGCGCGGTAATGGTGGCGGCCTCTGGGCGGCACCCACCTTGGAGCCCCGCTCGTTAAAAATGATCTCCACGTCTAAAATTTTTCCGAATTGCTGCAGAGACAGAGAGGGAGGTGGGGAGACAGGGGAGGGTGGGTTAAAAGCACCGCCCCCGCCGCGCGCCTGCTTCCCGGGAGACCCTCACCTGCTGCCCGGGTCTGGCCCCTGCCCTGCTCCGCCAGCCCCCTGCAGGGAAGGGGCCAGGCTCCTGGTGTAGCCGGGTCTGGGGACGGAGATCCCAGAGAGAAGTTCCCCTGCCTAAGGGCCAGGTGGGGGCTGAGGACCGGGGGAGGGGGCAGCCTTCCCCAAGTACCTCCCCTCTCCTAGCCAGGACTCTGCCCCGTTCCTGATGGACACCTCTAATTCACACTAAAGGGTAAAGGGCTAAGGACAGGTCCTTCCCAAACGGCTGGGTGCTGGGAGGGGTGCAGGTACCCCTGGGAGACACAAAGTGCTGTGGAGAGACCCCATACCGCTAGAGCTTGTGCTGTCTGGGCTGGGCTGTGTGGGGTACAGAACTACACCGACCCCAAACCCCTCTACCGAACTAGGACGTGCCAGCCAGGCAGGCGCAGATGCTGTGGTGGGCCCCTTCCTGCCCCATCGCTGGCCCAGGACCCCCAGGAGAAGCTCTGGCTCCCTCACAGTCACGTGAAACTAAATCCCCAAAACCGGGTCCCCAGGGGCCTGTCCTGCGGCCTCCAGTGTGTGTAACTGATGGGTGTCCCCGACATTCCACAATGCTGGGAGCCGGGTGTCTAAAGGAACAGTGACATGACACAGAGCAACACAGCAGTGAATCCCAACTCTGACGAAGGCTGGAACAGGGAGGATGGCGCCTGTCCCGGTGTGGGGACGGGTGAGCGGACGCCCCGGGTGTGGGGACAAGTGAGTGGACGGCCCGGTGCAGGGATGGGGTGAGCGCTGGTGTGGGGACGGGTGAGCAGACGCCAGTCGGTGCCCATTGTACGGGGACAGGTGATGGGATGCGGACTGAGGGTCCCGGTCCAGGTGAGCTCCGTAAGGCTGGCAGCAGCCTGGTCCAGGCCAAGATGAGCCAAATCCTGATGATTCCCAATTTCATCGGCCCCTCACTGTCTCGAAGCCCCATGTGCCGTGGGGCCCGGCCTCCAAGAAGGGCAGTGGCTATTTGGGGCGAGGTGTGGGTGCTGGGTCCGTCCCGGGGCCACCCTCAGGGCACCTCCCCTTTGACGAATCCCATCTGGGAGGTGGGTGGCGTGAAGGCAGGGCTGGGGCTCAGGGACCAGAGCCCGCCTAGCGTGTGGCAGGGGTGAGGGTGGGCACTGTGCCGGCCACGGGGAAGAGGGTTTGGGGTGAGGGACACAACGCTGGCGGGCCAGGCGCACGAGACTTCCACGGCCGCGTGGTTCTCAGACGCATGGCCCGGCCGCTGCCCGCCCACCCGCCGGCTCAGCTCAAGCGGCAGCTCAAGCCGCAGCACGGAAGGCCCGCCCTGCGGCTCCGCACAGCCACGCTGGCTTCCCGCGGTCGGAGCACCTGCCCAGAGCCCCGCGGGCAAGGCCCGGAGCGACACAGTGCTCGGCCCTCAGCACGCAGGAGAGGCAGGGGCTGGGCTGAGGCCAGGAGGCTGAGCTGCCCGTCCAGGTGCCTTCGGAAGGCACAGGGGTCCCTGGAGCCCTGGGCAAGCCCCTGGGACTGCAGAGTCATCACCGACCCGGCACTGGCCTCAGCCCCGAGGGGTCCCTACGAGGCCCGGAGCACAGGCGGAGCGCGTGGGGGGGGTGTTCTGGCCGCTGCTGCTCCCTGGGCTTAGGACCCCCTCCTCCCGTCCATCCCGCCGGCTCGGGTCAGGGCAGGGCTGGCCTGGGGATGAAGGGGCCACACACACTCACCCCGAACATTTGCCGCAGGTCGGGGTCCCTGAACCGGAAGGGGATGTTGGAGACGTGCAGCCGCTTGGGCTGCTGCTTCTCTGTGGGGTCAGAGGGGTGGAGTGGCTGGCTGTCCGTCTGGGCCGCCTCGTCTGTCTGCTGTGGGCAGAGGACCCGGGCTGTGAGCTGACCCTCTCAGCGCCCACCCCGCAGGGAGGGGAGGGTCTAGAGGCCGGATCCCCCAGCCCCCTGGGTGTCCCCATCCTGGCGCAGGGGCGGACGGCTTTCCCTGCGCACCGCCTCTCAGCCCCAGAGCTCCCACCGCCAGGCCTCTGCGTGGGCTGCGCCGGCCGCCAACACGGGGCAAGGCCTCCCGGGGCGGGGGGTGTCTCCACTCCCCTCTCCCAGCTCTGCCCTGTCTGCAGGGCTGTGACCTGAACGGTCCCTCAGCTCCACCGTCGAAGTCAGGGTTTGCCCTTTGCCAGACACAGCCCGCGTGCAGGGAGCACGGGGACCCTCCCGGTTTCCAAGACATGATGAGAAGGTGCAAAGGCTTCAGGGCCCAGGCACGCACGTCTGTGTGTCTGTCTGCGGCCACCCCGGGCTGCCTCTCACCCCTCCCCACTGCTGCTCGGCACCCGCCGGCGTGGCTGCTCTTCCAGGGTACGGGGCAGCCCAAGTTCAGCCCGTTGGTCCCCTTCCCCATTGGGGACCCGAGCGTTAGGGTCGGAAAGACTGGGGGCTCAGGAAACAAAGCTGCCACAGGGCAAGGACCTCTCACCCTGTAGCGCCTGTGAGGACGAGGCCAGATGGCCTCCTCGGTGGCCTTCTGTAGGGACGGGCCACCCGCTCACTGCCCGGCTGGCCGTCAGCCTGGTTCAGGTCCGCTGAGCCGCCACGGCACGGGCACGCAGCGGGCGCTCGGTCAACGGCACCCGGAGATGGCCCGCTCAGCTCACCGTGACCTGGTGCTAGACTTTCCTGGGGACAGAGCAGCACTGCCCAGCGCCAGCCCGGAGGCTCGTCCTGGCTCATGGCACATCAGGGCACAAGGGTCGGCGAGCGGCCCTCAGCCAGGGACAGGCAAGGCAGGGGCACAGGTGGCCCAGCACCCTTACCTGGGGCTCTTCCACTCGGTCCCCGTGTCCCTGGGGGGCTAGCAGCCTGAGAACATGCCTTTCCCTGCTCCTTGCTCGCCTGCCCCCGTCCCCACTTCTCTGTCAGGGTTTTCTTGGGCTCTTGTTCCTGGCCCTCTGCTTGCACCTGGAGCCTTGTCTGCTTCTGGGACGGCAAGACCTTGGCTGGGACACGAGGGGCGTCCTGGCTCCAGCACGGCCACCTTGAGCATCTCTGACACGCCTGGAGAGAGCAGGGGCCGGAGCGTCCCCAAGACCCACGCTGGAGTTGGTACGAGGGGAAGTGCTGGTGGCCATGGCCTCCCGTGGGGCCGGAGAAGCACCGGCAGCTGACAGGCAGCGGAGAGACGCTCAGACACCGCTTCCCACGCGTCTCCGAGCACTGCTGCTTCGCATAAGTCACTTTTTGGTGGGTTTCCTTGTGGTCCAGCAAAGGAGCGCTGACGGATACAACAGGCCTCCCAGAGTCAGGAGAGGGGAGCAGGGCCAGGCCACTGGGCCCAAGGCCTCCTCCAAGCCGAGAAAACGGAGCCCAAGGGCCTGCCAGTGGCAGGAGGTCTGTCTGTGCACTCCCGAGGGGCTGCCCTCATTGGTTGACCTGTTCATCCTTTCTGGAAGGAGGGGGCCCCCTCCTACTCCGGTGCCCAGCCAGGAGGCCTCCGGTCAGGCTCTGGGGCAGCAGGGGCCAGAGGTGAGGGGCGCAGACGCCATCAGCTCCCGGGCTGCTGGGAGAGGCCGAGCACCTGCTCACAGGTCCCTCACACTCAGCTCTGTGCTCCTACGTTGAAAGCAGCACATGGCGCGTGATCCCCAGCGCTGCTGGAAACCACCATCCTCTTGTTTGCCTGGGGTGTGCATGACCTGTGCCAGCGGGGTGGCCACCCTCTGAGGGGCGGGCCTGGTCCTGACGCGTGTGTGTGCTCGGTGCCCTCCTCCCGGGCTGCCGAGTGATGTGCATCCATGGTGGGGCTGGAGGGGAGGGAGCGCCCGGGCCCGGGGGTCACCAACCAGCCCTAGGAGGCTATCGGACCTTCCACGGAGGAACCGCGGTCAGCGGCCTTGGGGTGCCTCAGGGACCCCCCGAGAGCTACTCCTGCCAAGCCAGGGACCTGCGGATTCCCGACCGCCCCCTCTGCTTCCCCGCTGTCCTCCTCCCTTGGCCCCGTCCGTCCCTGCAGAGAGCAGAGTGGTGCGAGACCTCCTCCCAGAGGCTCGTCCACGCCCGAGTCCAAGCAGAACCCACCATGTGTGGCTCTTCCTGCGTCGTGGTCAGGGTGGGCAGCACCCTGTGTCACCAGGCCCCCCGCCCGGTGCATTTCACACAGCCGGGCCTTCTGTGGCTCCTGGGTACAGGTGACTAAAGGAGACAACCCTGAATTTGGGAATTCAGCCAGAGAGGGGCATGTAATGCTGGCCGCGGCCAGCAGAGGGCAGAAGTCAGCACGGCCAGTGGCATCCAGAGCAGCAGGGGAGCCCTTGGCAAGGTGGGGGGTGTGCCCGGGAAGGCGTTGCCCAGACACGTGTCTGGGGCCCCCCCGGGCCTCCCTTCTGCCCTGGGCCCACTGTGAGTCTCCATGCCCAGACCCACCTCCCTCAGCTCCAGACCCTCCGTTGAAGACTTGGAGGGGAACCACCTGAGGGCAAGAGGGGTGGGGAATGGGGTATTGAGGGGTCCTGTGGGATGAATCATGAGTGGGGCCAGAGCACAAGCAAGGAAGGAGCTCCCTCGCCCCCCCAGTGCAGACGAACAGGTTTGGTGTTAAATCATACGATGTTTGGAGGAACCCCGGTGTTAGCAGCCTGGCCGGGTGAGAGGTGCAGGGGTCCATCCCCCCACCCCCGTGTGGCCTTTCCCTGGGACTACCCTTGTCCTTCCTCTCTCTCTTTTAAAGCAACCTCTGCCCCCAGTGCTCAAGGCAGGGAAAAAGAAAACAATAGTGACCCACCCCCACCCCCACTGGCCTCAGTCACCCCTCCCCTCCCCCAGCTGGCCATAGGAGCTTTGCTTCTGTGTCCTTCTCCTTGTCCCTGTCACCCTAGCCATCACATCCCCCCACGCTCCCCATTCAAGGCCAGGAGCCGACCCCTCATGGACCAGGGTCCAGATGTGCCCAGGGCACCCCCACTGTCGGAGGAGCCTACAGCCCCCACACCGGGGCCTCCCCGAGCTCACTCAGCACAGGGAGAGGCCAGAAGAGCCCTGGGCAGGGTCTGGAGGGTCCAGCGGGGGGACTGGCAGCAGGACGCTTCATCGCTGGATGGAGCCAAGGCTTGGTGATGGGACATAAGAGGAATCGACTCCTGGAAACGTTTCTCTGCAGCCCCTCACCCCTGCTCCCTCAGAGGCTCCTGGGGACTCATGTAAGGACTGTCCACTGCTCCCCAGACATGGCTCAGCCCTACTGGGTGGCCGGTGGGTCTGGGAGAGGCCATCTCCACTTGTGGCCTCTATCTGTTGCTTTATGATGATGCCTTCATCATAACGGGCAGCCCCCTCCTCGGGCAGAGCTGTGTGCTCCCGCTTTGGACTCTGGACGACAGACTAAGAGCCCCCTACGGCCTCACACTGACTGAGGGTGTCATCTGCTTGCCCCTGGCCAGGGTGGTGGTGGTGACACAGGGCTGGTCTCACCCGTGGAGGCAGGGGGTGGGTAGGGGAGGGCTGGGGGGACACATCAGCCTCTCCACCTTGCACTCCACCCCAGCCCACCCTTTTCCCTCTGCTGACAGCTCCAGGAGCCACGTGCAAAGGGGACCGAAGGCCGAAGCGCCTGCTAGCCGGGGAGGGGACAGCCCAGGGACAGGCCCTGGGAGGCTCACCGCACAGAGGGCGAGGCAGACAGTGGGAGTAGTTTCTGAGCGCGGAAGCCCCACTGGCTGTCCCAGAATTCGGGGAGGACAGGGGTGGGGAGAGCACCTGCAGGGGGCCTGTGTGACCTTGAGTGATGAACACTCTGGGAAGGCGGCCCCAGGCGGTATCCCAGGCCCCGGAGAGTAGCGGGAAGGGCCCCGATCCCTCAGCAGCCCATGCTGCTTGTGCAGAGACACCGCGATGACCAGCAGAATCCACATTTGGGAGAGAGCAGATCTGGACAGAGGCCATAGCCCGCACTGCCTGCTACCCTGTACTCCCTTGTCCAGACCCCAGGGTGCCCTGTACCCCCCTCTGGGCCCCAGGATGGGTGAGGAGGACCAAGGGGAGGCTTCAGTGAGCGGAGGCGTCTTCACGCAAGGATGGGACGGACGTGGGGCAGCTGACACAGCGCGGAGGTGCTGAGCTTTTAGCTGGGTGCACTGGGCAGTGTCTTTGGGAAGAAGGTGGCTACTGGCATCTTCGAGCAGGCTGGGGTGCCCTTGCCCCCTCCAGCTCCTCCCGAGGCGGGACGCCTCTGCTTGTGTAAACATCCAGGCTCTGCGCGCGCACGCCGTCCAGCGGGGCCGTCTCTGCCTGGGTGTCTTGACGAACTCTGCGTCCTCAGCAGCCACACCCGCGGGGGACCATCTGGCCTCGGGACATGTCCAGGAACGGTCTCTCCTCTGTGTCCCCAGATGGAAGACCCCCAGACCCTGACCCCTTCCAGGACTCGAAGAGACCTGGGCTGGAAAAAGGAAGGTCAAGGCGGCCCCACTGGCCAGGCTTGGGTGCTCTCGGGCCCACGCTTTCCTCGGAGGTGCCTGGCCCCGGAAGTGAGACCCCCGCTCTCAGGGGGGCCGAATCCTTTCTGGGACTCCTGAGCCCCCTCTAGGGCCCGTATTCTGTCGCGGGCAGGGAGGCTGCGACTGGCCCCTTGTTGACTTTCACATCCCTGACGGGTGGGCTGTGGTGGCCACCGCAGGACAGGGCCAGCGCTCTCTTCCCTGTGCCCCCCCGGGCCGGCTCAGTGCGGCACGCAGCAGGGTCCCCACGACTGTCGGTGGAGTGACGGTGCTCCTGGTGGCCCGGCTGCACGTGGCGCTCCGGTGTCAGGGAGGCCTCCCGGCCCGTTCCTGGGGTGCAGGCATTCTCTCTCGGTCCCCATCCGTGCCCCTGCCGGTCTGAACCCCTGGTCTCCTGCGCTCCATCCAGGCAAATCCTGGCCTCGCCCTTTGCTCGTGAGGAGGCCGTGTCATGGGAGGTTGGGCGGATACAGACTGTCCACCAGGGCCCACTGGAAGGAGACCGTCCACCAGCCATGACGCGGTCACGCCGAGCCCCTCTGGCTCTGCTCTGAGCACACCCATGTCACGGGTTTGAGGAAGCAGAAGCAGAGCGGCCCCAAAGGAATGGATGGTTTGGCTCCCAGGTCGATGGCCCGGAACCCCGGGGGTGGGGTGTGTCCACAGGTCTAGACACCCCGCATGGGACGCGGGGAGTGGAGAGGTCTGATGCAGCTGTGGCACTCCACTCAAGGCGGAAGGGCACGGGCTGGGCTCCACACGAGCGTCTCCACCCCAGCGGGCAGCGCAGGTGCTGCGGTCCACACCGGGAGGGTGGGTGGTATCTGGGTCCACATGGCAACCCTGGAGCCAGGCTGGACGGGGGGATGAGGGGTGCGGGGTGGAGGCTGAGGGAGCATGGGGAGGGGCACTCATCGGGAGGTTGCCGGGGCCGGGCCGCTCCTGGGCAGCACGGGATGAGCTGGCCTTCTGCCCAGCCCCGGCCAGCCCGCACCAGGAGGGGACCGCGGGGCCAGCTCCCAAAGCCGGGGAGCCGCGGCAGGGGTGGGCACGTGCAGACGGCCACAGGGAGGAGGGCCAGGGTGGGGCCGGCTGCGCTTCTGCGGGACCCCAGGGGGGGCTGCCTTCGTGGGACGCCCCCAGCCCCGCCCCGGCCGCCGCTGGCCACGCTCCTCTGAGAAGCGAGCGGCTCAGCACTTTCTCCTTGGAACCGCATTACAACCACACAAGTGAGGCTCTGTGACTGGACAGCAGCCAAGCAGGTAGATTACGAGTGATTAGAAACGATCGCCGTGCCCGCCACCCGAGACGCCCGAGGGGCCCGGAGCCTCCTCTCCCGTCGCCCTGTCCCTGCCTGGGCAGACACCTGGGCCCTGGGCTCGCCGTTCCCCTCACCTCGCAGGGACGGGGTGCTGGCTGCCCAGCCGGGAGGCCCCATCTCCCATGTGAGGGGGGCCCGCTGCTCAGCGGGGCCGGTGTCCGATGAACAGCTCCAAGGCCGCAGAGACCTGCCCGTCCACCCCAGAGCCCCTCCAGCCCCTCCCTCGGCAGGCCCTCCCTGCCCCGGCTGCGCCCCCCTCTGGGCGGGCTCGCTCCCTGCTGTGGGCTCGCGGGGCCCCTCACCGGCACTGTCTGGGCCCCAGCGATGGGCTGTGTGCTGGCCTCGGCGCCCGGCTGCTCGGGGCGGGTCTGTGCTGGTGTGTACAGGGTCAGGCCGTGCTCCGGGGGGACCGGGGTCTGGCCCGAGTAGTCTTGCGTGGGATGCGGGGGTGCATACTCGGCAGGGATGCCATTCTGGGGCGGAGGGGGGTACTGGGCAGGGGGGTAGGGCTGGGCCATCGCTTCAGGCGGAGCCGTGGCGTCCTGATTGCCCTGCGGAGGGAAAGAGAGCGGGCTGGTTAGATGGCTGGCAGGCCTGGACCCTCTGCCCCCTTCCGAGAGCTCAGGGGCCGAGCAGTGGTTTCCAGAAGCACAGCCCAAGCCTTCTGCAGCGGGGGAGCTCCCCAACATGAGGCACCAGATCTGAGCCGTCGGAGGGCCCTGCCAGGATGGGGGTGTCTGGGGGGCCCAGGGCTTGAGACCCCTGATGCATACTTGTCAAGCCCACATTAAGCTTATGCAATTCTAAGAAATAACATCGCGTGACCCTGTGCACCCCTCTGCCCGGTATCTGCCCACGGTGAGCGCTGGGGAAGCCGTCCTGCCGGGAGACGCGGATCCCACTGAGACACGGTCGGCACTCAGCAGCACGGGGTCCCTCTCGTCTCCCTCAGAGCCACGCCTCCTCCCTCCTGCCTTATGAAGGTTTTAAGCCTCGGTTTTCCCATCAGTAAAGTGGGGGAAGGAGAACCCCTTCCCAGCCTGAGGGAAAGAGGATAAGAATTGATCCCACAGAACTGGGAGCCTGGCACCACAGGGCCCCCATCACGGCCCTGATGCAGAGATGCTGTCTGTGGGGTATGGAAGATTCCGGCTCTGTCTCCAGATACCCCGAGCGGATCTCTGGAAGCCCCCACCCCGTCCCTGAAGGCCTGCTGCCCCAGGGACTTTTAGAAGCCAAGGCCCTGGGGTAGGGTCCCCGCCACAATGCAGGGCAGAGGCTCTTCCCATGGGCTGCTTGGACCCAGGAGCCTTGCCTGGGAGCTTGTCAGCAATGCAAGTTCTCGCCTGCACCCCAGACCTCCTGCACCTGGGCACCCATGGGAAGCCCGACGTAGCCCCGGGAGAAAGCCCCTCAGCCCCAGAGAACGGGCGAGGGTCCTCGTGCTGTCGGCTGTGGGGTGGGGTTCTGGCTTCTCCTGCTCGTTGCTCCCCACTGAGGACACAGACGGTTGTAGGGGGAAGGCAGGTTTGCTGCAGCCCCTCTAAGCAGGTGAGGCACCCTCTGGCCTTCCAAGGGTGTCCTTAGGGCAGAGAGTGTCCCCACCACCTGGAAGGACAAGTGCCATCCCTCACTTGAGTATCTCCCCAGTGTGGACGGACCCCTGCGCAGACACAGACAGCCTGCCCTTACGGCCGCCTTCCTGACATCTCACCGAGGAGCCCCGCACTCTCCCGCGCTGGCCCCATCATCCCAGCCTGGGCCTGTTTCGAGGTTTGTTTCCTTGCCCGTGCCCCAGTGAGACGGGGGCTCGTTCCAGAGAACACTCCCGGCCTCGCTCTGGTCTTCATCCTTACTCCTCAGCCGGCCCACAGCTCTTTCCCCGGTGTCTGGACGGGGGCAGGGACTAGGCCCGTGGCTCTGGCGGGGAATGGAGCAGGACGGGCAGCCCTGGCCTCTGTGGGCTCTGCCGGGCGGGAGCGAATGCAGACAATTGCCCAGAGCGCGAGGTGACCTGAGGGGCCCGGCCTCCCAACAGTGCTGGTGAATGTGCACAGGAGCCAGGCTGGGCCTCCTGCCTATGGCCAGGGCCCTGCCCCCACCAACCAACCGTCTGCCTGCCCAGCTCCCTGCTGGCAGGAGGCCTGAGGCCAACTCTCTGCCAGGAGACCAGCCCCTTTAAAACCCCAGTTCCAGCCTCTGCTCTCACTGCCCCTAGCTCCTGGGTGACCCCTGACCCCAATCAGCAGTGGCCTCACGAGCAGAAAAATTCTGTCCCACCCTCTGCCTGCAGAGACGGGGCAGCATCTGAGCTCCAGACAGTGAGAGGGAAACACGTGTGTGCATCACACAGGCTTGGGAGTGCACGCCCTTTGCTGGACCCCCCTCCCCCCCCGACTGCTCCAAAGTAGCCCACAAAGTCCCATTACCGAGACCGTTAGCAAACGTGGGCGGGAGAAGAGGTGAGTTCGGGGGAGGTGGGAGCTGGTGGGGGTGGAGGGGAACCCAAGCTGGTATGGACAGAGGCCAGGACAAGGGGTGAGGGAAGTGGGAGGGAGGAGGAGGAAGAGGAGGAGGCCCGGGTAAGGGAGAAGGCGCTGTCAGCAGCCTCGAGAGATCAATTAGCTGATAAATATTTGATTAGAACCTTCACTAACTCACATCTCTCTGGTGCCCCCATGTCCCTCCCCCCTCCGATGTCCAGGAAGGAGGGGCTCTTCTCTATCTGCTCCTTCTCACCCCCACCCCCGCACCCTCTCCCCTGAGTCCCCTCAGGACTAGTGACAGCAGCCACTCCCACCGCAGTGGCTCCCAGGGCTGGAGCCCAGAGCCCAGACCCTCAGGGAGCCTGTAGCACAAAGGTGGGACACGAGGGCAGCGTGTTGGGGGCTCGATGCCCCAGTCTGAAGGGGTCTGGGTGGGCAGGAGGCAGCTGTGAGATGGGACATCTAGGGCCATTGGGACAGGATAATAAATCAGCACACCTGTGCACACCGTGCTTTCTGCACACTAACTCACGGAATTGCCCTCCAACCCACCAGGCGATCGATATCCCCATTTCACAGCTGGTCAAACTGAGGCACAGGGACTAAGCGACGCGTCAGGCTGATACAGAAGGAGCAGGACAGCAGCACAGATCGCCTGGCTCTCAGATAGTCCCCTCTGCTTCTGCACGCACGACTGTGGCCCTTCACAGGGGGCCGGGGAGGGGCATGAGGTTTCACAGCCCGGGGATAGAGTCAGAGCCTGGGATAAAGGGGGAGGCCTCCCTCTTGGCCACTGGGTGGTCCTGGGTGACCATTCATCCTCTTTGAACAAATTCCCTCATTGCAAGAGGTCATCACGGTGCCCAGACAGAGGAAATGCAGACTGAAAGCTAGCCAGTGTGATCCAGTGGGTCCTGGGGGAGAAGGCCATTGCCCCTGCATCTCCTTCATGCCACGCTGGGAGTGGCTGGTCAGCTGAGTGGCCCGCACCCTGGCTGCCGATCCCATACCTGGACCCCTCCCCAGGGCGGCTGAGTGGATGTACAACCAAATTTTCCCATGAGGTTCCGCTGTGCAGCTCAGACCGAGGGCCTCTGGACCAGACGTGGATGGAAGAGCAGAGGGTATCAGGGGTACCTGAGGGCATGAAGTGCCTGACACAGAGAGGGCAGTGCAGCCAGCGCTGTCACATTCCTGTTCTTCCTTCTCCTTGGTCTGCTGAGGCCAGAGTGGAAGAGAGTCTTGAGCTCTGCGGCATGAGCTGAGCAAACTCCTCCTGCGAGGCTGGGGCTCGTCTCAGCTGGCCTTGTTTCAGAGCAGCCTGTGAACATGTCTGGCTCCCCAGGGGACTGGAAATTCCCAGAGCACGAGGGCCACTCGCTGACTCTGCTCCCATATCCCTGCACTCAGCACAACACTTTGCGGCACTCAGAAGAGTCTCAACGCACATCAGATGAGTGGATGTGTGCAGAGATGGGTGGTGGGTGGAAGGATGGTGGAGGGAGGGATGAACAGACCAACGGACAAATAGGCAGATGAACGGGTGGGTGGGTGGGTGGATGGATGGATGGGTAGATGGATGGTTGGATGGATGGATGGATGGATGGGTGGATGGGTGAAGGGTGGGTGATGGGTGGATGGATGGACGGGTGGTTGGATGGATGGATGATGGATGGGTGGATGGATGGATGGGTGGATGGGTG